AAAATAAGGGTGGAATGTAGTGAAGGAAGGAGGGTTGGACGTCAATAGCTACACACGAAAATGAGCAGGGTTTTAAGAGGTTCAGCCGGGCGTGACAAAAAAAAATAGTTGCATTCAGGAGAGGTAATGTTGAGAGTTTCAAGGATAAACTACGATCCAATGTGGAGGCCAGAAACTTGACTGTATCACGTTCAGGGATACGTGAGCCTTAGAGGTACAAGGATGATCAGAGATGACAGAGGTCTGTGAAAAGTGATTTGGTGGGTTTTAGTGCTGGAAATTTAACCCATGGGTATGTGGCCCAATTGGAAACACGGTCGACTGCATGCTGGGAGAGAAACTGTAAAGGAGGGTGGACAGTCAGGCTGCACAGGCAATAGCAAAGTCATCAACATCGAGTGATGACCAATATTGATGGAAGACTAGAGGCATAATCATTAATGCAGGGAGAAAAAGTGTTGTGCTCATGAAACACATCCTGGGGAACCATTCAGCTTGGACAAGTCCTGGGAGAGCACATTTATTAACCGATATACACGGAAATGACTGTCAGTTAAAAAGTTCTTAAGGATAGGATTGTAGATTGCCTCGAGGCCATAAGGGGTGGGCTTGGGATAAATATTATACTATACTCCAAGGTTGTGTCATATGCCTTTCAGGTCAAATAAATATTGGCAATAAACTGAGTGGTTTATTCGCAAAGGCATTACAGAACATAGTATCCAGGCAGTACGGGTCTATGGATAGAACGTCCCTTACGAACGACATATTGACGAGTGGAGAAGGGGGGACGGTTGTGTGCTCTAATACCACATAAACGTCTATTTACTAGAGTTCCATTCTTTGCCAAACGCACTTGGTAAGTGCAATGGGCGATAGGGGGAGGTTTATGTCAGTAGTGCCTGGTTTGCGGAAAGGGAAGGAGAAAACAAATGGCGGATTTCCACAGCTGTGGAAGAACACCTTGTGACCAAATAAGATTGTAATAGGTGTAATAGGTACTTGCAAGGGATGCATGATGTAATGTTGTCTGCATACGATTATGTATGTCGACGGGCCCAGCTGCCGATGATCGACAAGCTGAGAGTGTTGCCTCCAGTTCTTGAGTGTAAAGGCACATAATATGTTCTTCTCTGAGAGTAGAAAAGTCCAAGGGTGCTAATCTCTGGCAGACTTTGAGGAAGAAATGAGGGGCATAGATGGGTCCCTGAGAAATACGGACCAGTTGATTGCCTATTCATTGGCTACATCTAGTGGGTTTGCTATATCAACACCGGCAACCCGCAGAATCAAAAAGGAGCCGGGTCAGGAGAGTATATTTACCACTCAGTTTTGTACTTTTTTCCAGACTGAAATCTAGTGGAAGCGAGTTGATGGTGGAGACATAATCTCGCAGCAATTGCGTTTAGCGTCACGGATGACACGGCGGTGCGACGCACGCCTTCTGTTTAAATCTCGGGGAGTCGCTCTGTGGTTATATGTAACGGTACCTGCACATGCAGCGCGTTTTCAAAAGTACTGCACGAGCACAAGCAGGAGAGTCCACCAAGGGCACGCATTTCTGAGAATGCCTGACGTAAGTTTGGGGTATAGAATGAGTAGCTGCGGTTGAAAACGGAAGGACGAGAAGAGGTGTAAATAGCTCTTCGATGGAAGGACGAAGAAGGAACCTCTTTATTAAAAACAGTTCAGGTGTGTTAAAGGTTCCAATTTGCTCCGATTAAATGAAAGAGTGGGGTGCGAAGAGGGGTGGCGATATGAAGGGGAAGTAGGAATGATGGGAAATGATCCAATGTCTATTGTAGTCGGGAGAAAAGAACAAGTAAAGTCTAATGCGGCGGGAGGAGGAAGAGCAAATGAGAGATCGATGTAAGAGAGAGTATGAGTCGGGAGGACAAAATGGGTGTGAGTACCTGTATTTAAAACATGGAGGGGGTGGGTGGCAAGAAAAGCCTCTAACTGAATTCCACGGGAATCACAGTGAGACCCTCCCCAGAGGAAATGGTGGGCATTAAAATCACCAAGTAACAGAATCGGTGGCGGTAATGACGAAACAAGGAAGGCAAAATCCGGAATAGATAATGCCCGAGAAGGAGAGAGATATAAAGAACAGAGCGTATACCACCTATGTAAGTGGATACGGGCTGCTGTGTAATGCAGCGAAGTATGAACAAATAGCTGATGGTACGGAATATCAGTGCGGAGAAGAAGGGCACTTTCATTAAAGGTCCCATCAGGAAAAGGATCTGAAGAATACAATAAATTATAGCCTGAGATGTGAGAAATAACAGCAGAGTGTAATTTTGGTTCCTGTAAGCAAACACCAACAGGGGCAAACTGGGAGAGTAACATCTGAAGCTCACCCCGATTACCCCTGAGGCCGCGTATATTCCACTGTAAAAGGCCATGATTGGCAATGATAAAGATACTTGAAATCCGCAGGTAAGGGTTCCTACGGACTAGAAGGGTTAGAAAAGTCCACATGCGGAGGCAGTGGAAAATGTTCAAGCAGCGAAGGAACGGTGCGCTGTGAAGAAAGGAGTTGCGCAGATGGAGCAGAGGAGAGAGAGAAGAGCGGAAGGTGGATCAGTGTCCATTGATGGTTTGGTCTCTGCAATATATTCAGAGATTGCTTCAAGTGTTTCGGAATTCAGAGATGTCGTATGGGAGACAATATTGGGAATGGTAGGGGGAGGATGAGTAAAGATTGGAACTGTATTGGACTGTACCAAGGTAGGGGGGGGCGAAAGGGTGGAGGGAACTGGAGAAGCGTGGCAGGGGACAGAAGAGACAGGAACCTGGGAGGTGGCAGAAGAGGAAGAAACTTGGGAGGGAACAGGGGAGGAAGGTACATTACGAGGAGGAGGGTGAACCTCTGCACTTGTAACTGAGCCAGTGAGAGGGGAAGAACTAGGGACAGAGACAGGGAGGGTAAAATGAGGAGGTGGAAGATGGGTAGGAGGTGTTACCGGACCTTTTTTTGACTTTTGAGAAGTAGAGGGACGATTGGGAAGAGGTGTCGTACGAGGTCTCGTCGATACTGAGGCTTGTAAGAGAGAACTCGAAGAAGCGAGATTAGACTGAGGCGTTGAAGTAGGGACGTCTGAGCCGAGGACAGCAAAAGGATTAGATACAGGAGTGATTATGGGAGAGGTAACCACAGAGGTGGGTGTAGAAGATGGGATACCAGAAGTGGGGGGACGTTTTGAAACACGGGAATAAGAAACACGTGGGAGTCTCCCTTGGAGGCGGAGATGAGAAACATGCCTATGCATAAGGGAGACCTTCTGTCTCTTTGAGCGTAACGGATTTCCCGCTCGTTTAAATAGACCTGACAACGGCGCAGAGTACGAAGGGTGAGCCTCATGACAGTTAAGCAAGGAGGGAGATCGTATTGCAGACGTATTAGAATGGTCATCGGACCACAGAATGGCGATTCGGCGAAACACGTCAGAGTAACTGCACAATATTTCGCTGGATGGCCAATGCCAGCAATTTCTACACTGTTGTGGTGTAGGGATCACCTTCGAACTTGTAACCGATGTTCCTGCTATATAAACTGAGGATGGGCGGTCTCGGCTGTCAAAAGTTATCGAGGCCACATTGCTAGGGTATCGTCTCCGCCTCGGGCAGGATGAAACGTAAGTGTTACCTTGAGGGATTGGGAGGTCTTGGGTTCCGCTGTTCAAGAATGTCTCAGTGCACATGTCTGGAAATTGGTTGAACTATGGTATGGGCAGAATGACGCTTACCTTACAAGAATTGAGGGAATGATGTTTTCAAGAATGGACAGGAACAGTATCACGATATGGGAAAGATCGAGAGAGATCATGAGCTGGGTAGCATTCGTACGGTTAATTGATGGCGGTACGCTCTTAAGAGCATGAAAAAATAAATATCTTTACCAACTGGTGTAGGAGTGCCTTCGCCAATACTATGGTCGAAGATAGGGAAGTAGAGGAAATTGGTCGTAATTAAAGTGGAAGAATTTAGTTCCATTGTTCTGTCGGTACTGAGCGTGGGAAAGGTAGTGATGGACGTTGTCGATCGTTTTTGAGAGAACAGAACGAGAAGTTGGGAGGCATGTATCATCAGCGGTAATTGTCGTTGGGTTTTTAGGTGTGTGACAGAGTTGGTCCGACGTGGAAGGGTCGGCGATTTGAAAATTGCTGCACGTAGGAGGGAGAGAGGCCGGAAGCATAGTCAGAGGAGAGCGAAGGTCCAATAAAGCGCAGGGAGTCAGTCGAGGACTTAGTACCTGAAGAGGCGGGAGGAAATCAGCACCGGCAATAGGTACAGAGGCATGAGGATTGACTGAAGAGTGGTTCAAAGACGAGCGGGGTCAGAACGGGTGCGGTTTTCAGAGGGGCCCGGGGTGGTAGTGGGGTCATGGACTAGGGTTGCCATGGTTAGGTTACTTCTTTCTTTTTTGTTTTTTTTAAGAAAAAAAAAAGAAAGGAAAAGAAAAGAAAATAAAAAAAAGAATAAAAAAGGGGGGACGGGGAGGGAAAGATAGTTCTAAGGAGGAATGAAAGGGCAGCAATCTCCCGCCGTCGCAAGAGGACCTCAGCACCGCAGTAGCGCAGATGCTGCATGGAACCGTGCCATACCCTACCATCAGCTAGCAAATCTAACAATCGGGATAACAATTCACATCTGCGAGCTACCTCGGGTGGGAAAAAGAGAGGGCGCCGGATATCCGCCACAAAGCACTCTCTTCGGCACAACCCGGGAATCCGTAAAGTGGCCTCCAGAGATACACTCGTCGCCCGGAAAAGACACCCCAAGCTATCCGGGATCCCGGATAGAGGTCGGACATCCCAGGGGATCAGATTCCACGGCAAACTACGCCACCGCTAAGAACCTCAACGGAATGGGATGGACCCCGGTATCCTTTCCCCTACCCAGGAACTAGCGCGCCTGTGGGAGAAATCCCAAAGGACAAAAAGAGGAAAGGCAAAAGGGAGGGGTGGGGAGGAGGAAAGGAAAAAGGGGAAGATGGGATAGGGGAGGGGAGATTGGGGGGTAATTAGGTTCGGTCTGAGGAAGAAGACCGATAGGTCTAATTCCTCAGACCAAGAGCCTCTTCACCACGCCAAGGAGCCCCCCTTGAAGAGGTCGACTTGGGGAGGCAGTACGAGTGTAGTACTTCTATGACGTACCATCTTAAAGCAGAAGGAAAATTGTAGCAATTTAAGTGATAGTTTATGATGAATGAAAGCGACCGAAAAAGCACGAAACAAAACTAACTCCTCCAATCTCCTTTGCCCATCTTTTCCAGCATCTTCCGGTAGCCCAAGTCATCTGATCTCCAAGGTAATTACTTTTTAAAACTAGTTTATTTCTTTATATTATGTTTTTATACAATATTTCTTATTTATAAATACATTTTTCTTATTCAAAAACCTCTAACATCTGGGGGGGGGGGGGCTGTAATCTATTAATGGCATTTCAGTGAGGAAAACTGATTTGATATATGAGCAAATTCAGTTATGAGCTCACTCATGGAATGATTTAAACTCTTAAGTCAAAGTACCACTGTACATAGTTTTATATTATCAAAAGTGCAAAACAATGTATCACTTTATTTACAAATCTACAAAACAAGTGTGTGTGTTTAATAATAAAAAAAAAAATGCAGGGAGCATTTGTACATTGGCGAGTTAACAGTTGTTACAGTCAGCTCCTGGCCTCTGATATTCTATCAGTTACATGTACATAAATAGGCCTACATAATTGCTACCCATTTAAAATTAAGTTGCTGATGCAAGACTTATAAAATACACTTTTTTTTCTTGTATATATAAAATGTAGCAAAAAATCATATTTTATAAAAAATTTGTTAGTGTATTATAAATAAAGAATGAATACCTGTATTATACACTACATTGCTGAAGTTACGCATTTCTTAAATATGTACAAAAATTACATGTGAAATAAATTATGAAATATGAAAAGTGCAAATGGTGTCAATTCTTAGATATACGTATAATCATAAAAATTAAGATGAAATACATATTAGTTATAAAATATAGACAAGGTTTTCTTTTATGACACTACGTATAAGTTTAAGTACATTATATAAATTTACATTAAAAGTGTCTTGCATAATAACAATTTACACTACTATGCAAAGTAATTTTAATGTAAAATTGCATGCCGTGTCTAAATAAACTTGCTATACTGTTATAAAAAATCCTTATCTATACTTGACAACTTGTGTTTATGTAATAGCATAATGAGTAATTTTTAAATGTGCATTGTTAGTGTAAAATTCCTAGAGTAACCACTTAAAAACAAACCATTATAACAAAAACTGGAGTAAATCATTCATCAAACTGAAAATATAAACATTAATGTACCTTTCTGGGAAGGTTCACTGATGCCAGTGACAGTCCCTTGATAAAAAGACTTGGACCTGTCTTACTCTTTCTTGGATGTGGATCTGTTGCCTATTTCCCCAAGGTGATGTATAATCTAATTGTTTAGCATTTCCTCCAATTATTATAATCATAACCAAGAGCTAAACCTGTAAGGGTCACATTTCCCCCCAAATAATATTATACTGTGTTTTTTTTGTTATTATCACACTGGCCAATTCCCACCAAGGCAGGGTGGCCCGAAAAAGAAAAACTTTCACCATCATTCACTCCATCACTGTCTTGCCAGAAGGGTGCTTTACACTACAGTTTTTAAACTGCAACATTAACACCCCTCCTTCAGAGTGCAGGCACTGTACTTCCCATCTCCAGGACTCGAGTCCGGCCTGCCGGTTTCCCTGAACCCCTTCATAAATGTTACTTTGCTCACACTCCAACAGCACGTCAAGTATTAAAAACCATTTGTCTCCATTCACTCCTATCAAACGCGCTCACGCATGCCTGCTGGAAGTCCAAGCCCCTTGCACACAAAACCTCCTTTACCCCCTCCCTCCAACCTTTCCTAGGCCGACCCCTACCCCGACTTCCTTCCACTACAGACTGATACACTCTTGAAGTCACTCTGTTTCGCTCCATTCTCTCTACATGTCCGAACCACCTCAACAACCCTTCCTCAGCCCTCTGGACAACAGTTTTGGTAATCCCGCACCTCCTCCTAACTTCCAAACTACGAATTCTCTGCATTATATTCACACCACACATTGCCCTCAGACATGACTATCTCCACTGCCTCCAGCCTTCTCGCTGCAACATTCATCACCCATGCTTCACACCCATATAAGAGTGTTGGTAAAACTATACTCTCATACATTCCCCTCTTTGCCTCCAAGGACAAAGTTCTTTGTCTCCACAGACTCCTAAGTGCACCACTCACCCTTTTCCCCTCATCAATTCTATGATTCACCTCATCTTTCATAGACCCATCCGCTGACACGGATGGGTCACGGAGGAACACTAAACCTTTAAGGTTCAAACTACCCTTGGGAAATGGGAGGGCAGCTTCAATTCTTTAGATCAATAACCTTACACTGGCATCATGGCAACTCCCTAGATGGAAGCACAAGTTTTAAGAATTTAAAATGCCTGAATCAAAATTACTGGAAACTGTATAAAGGATATTTTCAGTTCACGAGGAAACTACCTTACTAGAAATTACAGTGTGACTTAAACTTCTACCCTTATTTCTTTACATAAAGGGAACAATGATAACAAAGAACTAAGTACAGTATTTATAACTAAAATAGTTAAATTTAAATGTTTTGTTGCAAGTACACAGAAAAGATTCTTGCAAATTGTTTTTATCATGTATCAAGGTTGTAATAGAATACAACTTAGCTTTAATACTCTACCAAGGCCTGGATACACAGTATAGTACTATAGCAAAACTGATGCATCACAAAACTGTAATATGATTACAAAAAGAAATCACAACAGGTGAGGCTTGAACCCATGACAGGCGAGTCCTAATACTTGTAGGCCAATTTGTTAACTAATGGCCTGCAAGTTTTAGAACCCTCCTGTCATAGGTTCAAACCTCACCTACTGTGTGATTGTATCACACGAGAACGGCTATACACCACAACCTTCACATACAATCCATGTTATGCTATACCACAACCACAGTGTACTGCACAATCTTGATATGCCGCAGCTATATGTACTAAAACCTTGTTACACTATATCATGATTATGATATACCACACATGGCATAATACTGCATACTAAAACCTGGATATATCATAGGACATGGTGAGTACAACTATTCTTGAACATGAGCAAAGACAAAAGTATTCTTACATTACACAGGAGTACCTAAATACTGTAATTGTAAATTATAAATTGTTAATTTCTATTAAAAAAATTAGTACAGTACTGCCATATCTTAGTTATTTATTATGCTCAGGATCAAACTAATTTTTCCCAGGTTTAATTAACCATAAATTTAACAATAAATGAGAAAACATGCTACTAGCATCTGTTAATTTTTCCCTTCCGATTTCTTAAAAAATGAGCATGACATATGAGGTACGTATCCGTTTTATCACTGGATTGAGTGCAGTATTATTCATGGTCTGAGCATCTAAAGGTAACCATACCAGTTCCTGCAACAAATGCCTGATCAACTAGATTGTAATGACTATAAGCTTGAAAGTAGCATCAACCTGACTGATCAAACACTTGACAAGACGGGTCAGCCCTCTGGCTAACACCAACCTGAACATAGGTATATCAGTGAGTCAGGTACTCTGAAAGTGTATATGAAGAAAGTGACACCTAACACTTGGTTATTACTGGTCATCATAATTAACCCTTAAACTGTCCAAACGTAGTTCTACATCCACGTGCAGGGAGCTCCGAACGTAGATCTACGTTTTTTTTTACATGCTTTCAAATGGGGAAAATCAAGGTCGGAGCGTTACACATGTGAACGTAGATTTACGTTCGGACAGTTTAAGGGTTAAAAGTAAAGATGAACACTGGTGACTAATGAATACAATACTAAGAATGTGTAAAAAAAAAAAAAAAAAAGTGTTGACTTCATACTTGGGGTAAAACTTAATATGTATATGAGAAGAACATTATCAGTACCACATAAACATACACTGGATAAAAATGTAGAAATGTTTAACATTAACTTTACAAGATACGGTGCATCTATTTATGCATATTTCCTGAAATTGAATTATTCTACAAAATGAGCAGATATTAATAAACACTGGTATATACAGTGAAATTTTGACAGTCTATTAATGTATGTACAGTGGACCCCCGCATACCGTTGGCATCACATAACGTTAAATCCGCATACCGATACATTTTATTGCTAAGATTTTGCCTCACATACCGCTAAAAAACCCACTCAACGCTATTCGTCCGAGACGCGTCTAATGTGCGGCCTGAGCCAGCCTCACATGTTCCGCCGGTGGCATTGTTTACAAGCCAGCCTCCACGGTAACATCCAAGCATACAATCGGAACATTTCGTATTATTACAGCGTTTTTGGTGATTTTATCTGCAAAATAAGTGACCATGGGCCCCAAGAAAACTTCTAGTGCCAACCCTGTGGTAAAAAGGGTGAGAAATATTATCGAAATACTGTGGTACCATGGTCAACTGCTGATGCTGCTGCTGCTGTAGCACTGTCAGCTGCTGCTGCTGCTGCTGCTGCTGTAGCACTGTCAGCTGCTGCTGCTGCTGCTGCTGCTGTAGCACTGTTGCTGGTGTGGCTTACTGAGAATACCAAGAAACAATTAACCCCAGAGGGTTAGCCACCCAGGATAACCCAAAAAAGTCAGTGTCATCGAAGACTGTCTAACTTATTTCCATTGGGGTCCTTAATCTTGTCTCCCAGGATGCAACTCACACCAGTCGACTAACACCCAGGTGAACAGGGAAAAATGCCTGGAACTAGTGCTCGTATTGGTGAATTTAAAGCCAGCAGAGGTTGGTTTGAGAGATTTAAGAATCGTAGTGGCATACACAGTGTGATAAGGCTTGTTCTGGAAGAAAATGCCAAACAGGACCTACAGTACTCAGGAGGAAAAGGCACTCCCAGGACACAGTGTCTCATCAGTCATTGCTGCATCTTCAATAAAGGTAAGCGTCATTTATTCTTCATTTAGTAGAGTAGTACATGCACAATATATATTGTGCATGTACTGCTCTACTATTGTGCATGTATCCTTCTCTTTGTGTGTAGGAAAATGTATATTTCATGTGGTAAAATTTTTTTTTTCATACTTTTGGGTGTCTTGCACGGATTAATTTGATTTCCATTATTTCTTATGGGGAAAATTCATTCGCATAACGATAATTTCGCATAACAATGAGCTCTCAGGAACGGATTAATATCGTTATGCGGGGGTTCACTGTATATCCACAAACAACCATCTATTTACAATATGCCAAATACAAAATGAAACTCCTGAAAATGACTGCCGAGTATTGCACAAGTTCTATCACTGCTGTAAAATGCACTACATACACAGCCTCGAGTATACATACTAATACGTATACTGTCTTGGATCCAACTATGCTGCAGATGTCTCAAGAGTCGTATGTTAGAACAGTACTCACTACTGGACCAAATGACAGTTATTCATTGACACACAATGTACTGTGGTTTGTTTGCTACAAATAAGCAACAACTACTACTACTGTGCTATTCACTGGGCACTTACAACTGGCCATAATGAAAATAGTCATTTTTTTAAATTCCAATGACAGAAAGGTTTATGCTGTGCATCAAAATTTATGAAACTTTACACTCATTAACACATGGTCAAAAATTAAATTAATGAGCACATCTACTATCTGTACATCTGAAGCTGCCCCCTTCCCCACCACAAATTCATCCACAAAAAGAAAAAAAATCATAGCCCATTGTTTTAGGTGGAAATGTAAAGTATCATAAGAATGACTAAGTAAAATGGAAAAGGCTAGAAATTCTAGTTTAAATCAGGAAATCTGAATGCTTATGCCATGACCACCTAAGATAAATGCATTTCTTCAGTGTGGTGCAGAGAAGTGAAAAATTATGAAGGATGAGATGACTGACTCGTAACAGCATTTACCTTCCACTCTTCATAAAGCGCATTATTTTCATCAAGGATGTGCACAACACAATAAATAAGATGCTTGGAATACAGGTACAACACTGATTTACCAGCAATGGATCATCCAACACAGCTTTTAGTACGGACAAAATTACAACGCATTTTTTTTTTTTGCCAAAATAGTTTACCTGGCAATCACAGACCCATTGTACATAGTGCATGTTCACTTATACTGTTTACATTGCAGTTGCTGGAGTTCCCTTGATTCTGTGCAATTCTCAGAATATTCTGCTAGCAACCCTAGCTATAGCTAGTGATTAGCCCTGTAGTTCCAGTAAAATTCTAAAATCTACCATTCTAGGAGTGGTGGTACTGCAACATACTTTGTAAATTTATTAATAAACCCGTTTCATTTAACCTAAAGTTTAATTCAAGTTTCTGGTAGAATACGGTGTTAGAGGTGTATTGTTTAGTCAATATATTGCATGATCTCTGTTGTTCTGACAGAGATCAATATACAGTAGGACCCCTGCATCTGCGTGGGTGATATGTTCGAAGACCTACCGTGGATACCCAAAACCCTGGATAGTAGCGAACCCTACATACAGTGGACCCCCGGTTTATGATCAGCTCCCAATGCGACCAATTATGTAAGCGTATTTATGTAAGTGCGCTTGTATGTGTATGTTTGGGGGTCTGAAATGGACTAATCTAATTCACAATATTCCTTATGGGAACAAATTCGGTCAGTACTGGCACCTGAACATACTTCTGGAATGAAATAATATCGTAAACCGGGGGTCCACTGTATATCATTTTTCATTTACATACATACCTATGATAAAAGTTTAATTGATAAATTATGCATAAGTCAAGAATTAGCACTTTTTCATTAATGGGAAGCACTTCATGGTTTCTCTTTGGCTCTGAAGAACTGTCACCATCACTACTTTTGTGCTTTGTGGTAATTATTAAAAAAATTAAGGCTTATTTTCAGGTCATGGTCAACTGTGGATAAGTGAAACCACAGATACAGGGGTCCTACTCTAAAAGCCTAGGAACCAAGAATGCAGGAAAATCAGTGTTGTACATGTCCTTCTATTTTGAAGTAAATAATAAACATGAAGAAAGCCTTTTACATTTCTTCTGCTGTGGGGGCTTTATCAAATCCTTGAAGCTCCACAGTGGCAAAACATTCATAAATAATAAGGCTTACTCTTCATGTTGTTTGATTCACGAACTGTCAGCTTTTGCCATCTGCTACTTATAATTACTAGTAGACAAATTTTAGTCTTAATACATTAATCTGTATAATCCTATGGGTTTAGCACTCCCCCATGATTATATAATTTATGTACATTAATATAAAAATCAAATGAACAATAAAATAATGAACTATCATGCATCCTGTCAACATGTTGAAAATTAACAATGTAAAAAACCCCTTCACTCATTTTCTTAAAAATGAATACTATTCCTGATAAGAATAAAAAATTATTCAATTCTATATTTCTTCGTTCGATTGGGTTTCTTGCTGGCTACAAAGGCAATGATAGTGACAATCTGACCACAAAGGTAAGCCACTAGGATGAAGATGGCAGGATAAAATATATCTGGGAGATTTGTTTCTGGCAGGCCCATGTAGCGGAGTGCTTGATTTCCTGTCACAACCCCACACGGTGCCTAGGGAAGATCACCAGTGTAAGCTTTTTCAAATACACAGACATGGACTTGTCATAATTAGGGATGAAAGGTTAATTTAATCCTTATCTACTTAATTTTTTCCTTCCTTGAGATCAGAATAACAAAAAGCACCTTCAAACACAAATCTATACCACTGAAATCCTTACTACATATGCTGTTGACAATTTACATTAGGTAAAAATATATAATATGCAGGTTTGTTTGGGTTTTTTTAACACTGGTTTTCTCCCAATGAGGTAGGATGACCCAAGAAAGAAGAAATACTTTCACTATCATTCATGCCTTGCCAGAGATGTACTGACACTATAGCTTAGATGCCTTTCCAAATTGCAATATCCTCACCCTCTCCTTCAGACTGCAGGATTCTACTTTCCTATTTCTGGGACCTTTGTCACACTCCAGCACCACATCCAATTATAAAAACCTCTTGCCTCCACTCCTGTCTAACATGCTCATACACAGTAACAAAAAAAGGCACAATTACACAAATAACCTGCACATAGAAGAGAGGACCTTACGACGATGTTTTGGTCTGACTTGGACCATTTACAAAGTCACACTAATAAAGAGGAGAGAAAGAAGGAGTATATAGGCCAGGAGGTGGTAGTGGAGATAGAAGGTAGTAGTGGGGGAGGTAGTATGGTGGAAGTGGAGCCAGCCAAATACTAAGAAAGAGGAGCACTGCAAGGGAGCTAGGGGCCCACAGAGGGTAGGAGCAAGAACACAGGGGGGGGGGAAAAATAAATAATGAAGGAACAAATACCCAAGGCAAAAGAAAGACAACCCAAAGGAGAAAGAGGAAAGGGGAAAAGGGATGAGAAAAAGGAATCAGGTTAAGTTATGGGTGTTCCGAAGTTTGGAGCATTTTACAACGTAGTGGGAAAGGAAGGCATCTACAGAGATGAAGCCAGGACTAAGATTCATACAAGGAAAGTTGTATATAAGGGAGGATTCCACCCGAGGGCAATTGTTAAAGTTGGAAGTAGGAAAGACAGTTTTAGCAGAAGACCAGTCACTAGGATGACTGTGATCTGATGTGACAGAAAAGAGCAGTTAGTGTTGGTAAGCCTAACACTACTTTTGTGCTCCCTAAGTCTGTCAGAGAGAGATCGGCCTGTTTCCCCGAAGTACTGAAGAGGATAGGAGGAACAAGAAATAGAGTAGTCACCAGGAGCGTCTATAGAGGGAGGAGAGGTATGAACTACTACCTTGTACCTCCACTACCACCTCCTGGCCTCTATATACTCCCTCCTTCTCTCCTTTTCGTTAGTACGACTTTGTAAATGGTCCAAGTTGGACCGAAACATCGTCATAAGCTCCTCTCTTCTATGTGCAGGTTATTTGTGCTCACACACACCTGTTGGATGCTCAAGCCCCTCACACACACACAACCTTCACCCCCTCCCTCCAATCTTCTCTAGGACACTCCCTACCCCTTTCTTCAACTACAGATTTATACATCCTCCAAGTCATTTTATTTTGCTTCATCTTCTCTCAGCATCCAAATCACTTCAACAATCCCTCCTCAGTCATCTGGATAATGCTCTTAGTAACCCTGCACCTCCTGGAATATACCTCCTAATCTCCAAACTAGGAATTCTCTGCATAATATTCACACCACCCATTGCCTGAGATTTGGCAACTTCACCGCCTCCAGCATCTTCCAACATTCAAAACTATTTATCTCACTTTGGGTAATATTCATTGGATTAAAGCACCAATTTTCACAAACTTAATTTGCATATAACTCGAGGGTTTACTGCATACCTTTCTCTGGATGGCTGAGAGAGAGTCCTGCAGGACAGGATTGCGGTCACAGAGAAACTCATTGGTGCTATCGAACTCATAGCGGTTGACTTCATGGAGGACCCAGCGAGCAGGAGACCACCAAAGTGTTGGCCACGTCCATGCTGACAAGTCCTGCAACAACAAATTATAATGAAGAGGAACAGTAACACTGCCAAGCATAATGCAAATAAATAATTTACTAAATGTAACTATATGTACTATACTGTGTATGAAACTCAAAACTAATATTCTACAAATACGTACTATGTATCAAATATTGTGTATCAACTCTGAATGACTGTAGAATAATACTGGCTGCTTAATTAAAGATTTTCAAGCAAGTAAACTGATAGACTATACATGAAAGGAATAAACTGTGGTGAGCTCTGAGGAGTAAACTTCATGCAATGTAATGAGGTACTAACAACTATCAACATACACTAGAACTGATTAAGTAAAATTTTAGGATAACTAATAGTAACGACAAAATCCAAGCTATGTAAATATAGGTTAGAGAATCCACTGTTAGGAATCAAGCAACAGTTTTGCTTAAATGTATTAACTGGCAACAAAATTAGGTGTTACCAGGGCAGTTATATCAATGGAAACGTGTCTTGACCATATGCACGTGTTCACAACAACATCAAGAACCCTTTTACAGACTAAGAACAACTCATAAAGAACCTTACCTGATATATATGAGTACTACTAGGTAGAAGTCACAAAACCAGTGATAAGGAGCTACACAACCAAATTCCTTACAAGTAAGAAGTTGGCATAACTTCAAATAATGCTAGAATATCTATTGTATATTACAAGTCATAAGTTGACCTTTTCTATTGAAATAATTTACATTTACTCAAAGTTATATTATTTTATCTGGCTTATTGCACAGAGAATTTTTTTTAAAGAAGGAGGCACTATATGACCTACAATGGTTTGGCATATTTTGTGAAATATTTTTTTTTTTTTTCACACTGGCTATCTCCCACCAAGGCAGGGTGATTCGAAAAAGAAACGCTTTCACCATCATTCACACTATCACTGTGTTTATCAGAGGCATGCAGATATAACAGTAACATAATTAAAAATGTTAAAAAATTTGGATAACACTAGAGGTTGGGTAGCACTGTACCAGAAGCTTAATTATACCTCATACCTAAACTGCACTGCATAAAACACTTAAGGAAATTTTTCGAAAACTTATATACGTACCATAGCATTTTAGGGCTTGCTTAATATTGGTTAGACTGGAATCTATAATGTCCAAAACTGGTCTATGCAATGATGAACATTTGTGCAAAGGTACTTTAAAAATCTTCAGTTTACCACCATGTCAAATTTCAGTAATGAACATAATATATAAAATTAAATATTGATGAACAAATATAACAATGAATAATAGTTGTACATAACTCAGTGATGTCTCCAAGATTTCAATTGAAGAATGAAAGTCACAATACCATGGCTGGAACAATTTGCTAAAAACCTGCACTTAAGAGAGAAATGTTAACATGATGTTTCAATCCATCCTGGACAATTGTTGAATGACAATAGTACAGAATGGACCAAAATATCATACTAACATTCCTCACGCAAGTGTGAGGCCTGTGATGAAAAGATTTCACTTATTAATGCAGCAAATACTAGTTTTTAGTGTTAAAACATTTCTTTGGTATAATCTCAAATTAATAACAAGATTATTCAGCATAAACAGTTATTCACATAATAAAAATTTCCCACAAATCACCCACACATAGGAGAGAGAAGCTTGCGATGGCATTTCAGTCCTGACTTGTATCATCTACAAAGTCACACTAACAGAAAAAGTGCGAGGAAGCGAGAGGGACAAGGATGGGAACTAGAGAGAGAAGAGGAAGTAGTGATAGAGGTAAGGTAGGTAGTGGAAGTAGTAGTAGTAGAAATAGTATTACATGTAGTATAAAGTAAGAAGAGTAGTTTAGTGGCACAAAAGAGAAAGGGGAGTGAAGGAAGAGAATAGTAAAGGTAGTAGCAATAGTAGAGGAATGGAGAGGGAAGACATAGTGAAACTAGAAGTGGGGTCAGTCTAAGGACAAAAAAAAAAAAAGAAGTATACTGCAGAAGAACTAAGAGCCCATAAGGGATAAGACCAAAAATGCAGGGAAGGGGGGTACACTGACTCCCCTCTCTCTCTTGTGTTACTACTCTTCCTACTTTATACTACCACTATTTCTTCTACCTACCTTACCACTACTTCCTCTTCTCCCTCTCATGCTCCTGTCCTTGTCCTGCTCACCTATATATACACTGGCTTCCTCACTCTTTTTTTTGTTAGTGAGACTTTGGTCCAAGTTGGACCAAAACATTGTCTTAAGCTTCTCTCCTATGTGTGGGTTATTTGTGTATTGTTCCAGTCACAGTACTGTGCCTTTTTGTTCTTTAGGAATTTTACCTTTATAAAAATAACTTTGAAATCTTCCCAAGAAAAGTAACACTTTCTATAAACTGTTATATTAAGGAGTGCTAAGTATTAATACAGGTACACAGTTTTATCCAGTTATTTCCAGCTGGAGTGTTTACTCTGAAAATATGCCTGTAAGCACATGAAAACACTCAGGTTTACCCAATTATTTTTTCACTTTTTTTTTTTTACGATGTACTGTATAGGAAACATTAATTGCTGGTATGCAGTAAAATCACAATGATAATAATGTGCTCTTGGGAGATTCTGAAGAGAAGTTGCAGAGATTGGTGGATGAATTTGGTAGGGTGTGCAAAAGAAGAAAATTAAAAATGAATACAGGAAAGAGTAAGGTTATGAGGATAACAAAAAGATTAGGTGATGAAAGATTGGATATCAGATTGGAGGGAGAGAGTATGGAGAAGGTGAATGTATTCAGATATTTGGAAGTGGACGTATCAGCGGATGGGTCCATGAAAGATGAGGTGAATCATAGAATTGATGAGGGGAAAAGGGTGAGTGGTGCACTTAGGAGTCTGTGGAGACAAAGAACTTTGTCCTTGGAGGCAAAGAGGGGAATGTATGAGAGTATAGTTTTACCAACGCTCTTATATGGGTGTGAAGCATGGGTGATGAATGTTGCAGCGAGGAGAAGGCTGGAGGCAGTGGAGATGTCATGTCTGAGGCCAATGTGTGGTGTGAATATAATGCAGAGAATTCGTAGTTTGGAAGTTAGGAGGAGGTGTGGGATTACCAAAACTGTTGTCCAGAGGGCTGAGGAAGGGCTGTTGAGGTGGTTCGGACATGTAGAGAGAATGGAGCGAAACAGAGTGACTTCAAGAGTATCAGTCTGTAGTGGAAGGAAGGCGGGGTAGGGGTCGGCCTAGGAAAGGTTGGAGGGAGGGGGTAAAGGAGGTTTTGTGTGCGAGGGGCTTGGACTTCCAGCAGGCATGCGTGAGCGCGTTTGATAGGAGTGAATGGAGACAAATGGTTTTTAATACTTGACGTGCTGTTGGAGTGTGAGCAAAGTAACATTTATGAAGGGGTTCAGGGAAACCGGCAGGCCGGACTTGAGTCCTGGAGATGGGAAGTACAGTCCCTGCACTCTGAAGGAGGGGTGTTAATGTTGCAGTTTAAAAACTGTAGTGTAAAGCACCCTTCTGGCAAGACAGTGATGGAGTGAATGATGGTGAGTTTTTCTTTTTCGGGCCTTGGTGGGAATCGACCAGTGTGATGCTAATAAAATAAATAATAATGCTAGGCTGGGACAAGTAGTCTAGATAAGATGGTCAAGATGGTCCATCCCTTCCTCTCTCTCTCTCTCTTTTTTAAAGCACTCTGGCACTCAATCATTCAATCACTGTCACTGACATCACAGTTCTGATAACCCTCCAAACCACAACATTCCCACCCCCCCTTCAGGGTGAAGGTACTGTACTTCCCACTTTTCCCAGACTCACATCTGATTCTTCATCACTCCAAAAAAGTGTTATACCTCCCAACCCAATGTAAGAAATCAGTGCCCTTCTTGGAAAACTGAGTATTTTAAGATGAATACATGTTGCAGATTATTTCTGTCTTTCCTATGAGGAAGGAGAGATGTTAACTAGAAGAGAGAGTGATTCATGTGAGGAGAGAGATTTTTTGAGTATGTGGAAAAAAATTATTGTGAAAGAGATACAGGAATACCAAAAAACAATTAGCTTAGAACTCACCAAGGGGTGAATGGTGAAGCCAGCACCTAGGAGAGCTAGGGTCATGACAAAACCTGTAGCCATGGCAGCTGTGTGACGCGAATCAAACACACAGATTGCAGCAATGGCAATGGCACGGATGGCATACAGGTAAAGAATCATGTAGCCTAGGTAGTAATAGAACTGGTCAGCTGAAGGAAAGCCAGCCATCATGTAGGCAGGCAAAATGTAGGCCAGAAATGTGCCACCAGCTGCTATGAAGCTGTAGCAGATCTGTTGAACAGTTGCAGGTGTGTTAATTTTAGTACATACATGTGTACAGGAATTGCTGCAGAAAAGGGGTGAAATGTTACAGGTGAAACACTGTGATGGTAATAATGACATACTGCCAGAAATTCAATAATAATTATGATATAGGTGAGGAAGTGAGATGTTTATTATAGAAACTTGAGTAGCAAAGTTAATTATACATGAGATGGAGGGATTAATAGTGATAGACAAGGTAGTGTCACACGAGGTGTAAAGGACCATTTAACATCTGTAGGGATAAAGTGGTAATTACAGCACACGAGCCTTTTCCATCCTATGGAGAGGGAGCATGGACACGGGGGTCGTCCCTCAGTTACTAAAAACAACAGACATAGCCCCACTCCACAAAGAGGGCAGTAAAGCAACAGCAAAGAACTACAGACCAATAGCACTAACATCCCATATCATAAAAATCTTTGAAAGGGTCCTAAGAAGCAAGATCACCACCCATCTAGAAACCCATCAGTTACACAACCCAGGGCAACATGGGTTTAGAACAGGTCGCTCCTGTCTGTCTCAACTACTGGATCACTACGACAAGGTCCTAAATGCACTAGAAGACAAAAAGAATGCAGATGTAATATATACAGACTTTGCAAAAGCCTTCGACAAGTGTGACCATGGCGTAATAGCGCACAAAATGCCCGCTAAAGGAATAACAGGAAAAGTCGGTCGATGGATCTATAATTTCCTCACTAACAGAACACAGAGAGTAGTCGTCAACAGAGTAAAGTCCAAGGCAGCTACGGTGAAAAGCTCTGTTCCACAAGGCACAGTACTAGCTCCCATCTTGTTCCTCATCCTCATATCCGACATAGACAAGGATGTCAGCCACAGCACCGTGTCTTCCTTTGCAGATGACACCCGAATCTGCATGACAGTGTCTTCCATTGCAGACACTGCAAGGCTCCAGGCGGACATCAACCAAATCTTTCAGTGGGCTGCAGAAAACAATATGAAGTTCAACGATGAGAAATTTCAATTACTCAGATATGGTAAACATGAGGAAATTAAATCTTCATCAGAGTACAAAACAAATTCTGGCCACAAAATAGAGCGAAACACCAACGTCAAAGACCTGGGAGTGATTATGTCGGAGGATCTCACCTTCAAGGACCATAACATTGTATCAATCGCATCTGCTAGAAAAATGACAGGATGGATAATGAGAACCTTCAAAACTAGGGAGGCCAAGCCCATGATGACACTCTTCAGGTCACTTGTTCTATCTAGGCTGGAATATTGCTGCACAATAACAGCACCTTTCAAGGCAGGTGAAATTGCCGACCTAGAAAATGTACAGAGAACTTTCACGGCGCGCATAACGGAGATAAAACACCTCAATTACTGGGAGCGCTTGAGGTTTCTAAACCTGTATTCCCTGGAACGCAGGAGGGAGAGATACATGATTATATACACCTGGAAAATCCTAGAGGGACTAGTACCGAACTTGCACACGAAAATCACTCACTACGAAAGCAAAAGACTTGGCAGACGATGCACCATCCCCCCAATGAAAAGCAGGGGTGTCACTAGCACGTTAAGAGACCATACAATAAGTGTCAGGGGCCCGAGACTGTTCAACTGCCTCCCAGCACACATAAGGGGGATTACCAACAGACCCCTGGCAGTCTTCAAGCTGGCACTGGACAAGCACCTAAAGTCAGTTCCTGATCAGCCGGGCTGTGGCTCGTACGTTGGTTTGCGTGCAGCCAGCAGCAACAGCCTGGTTGATCAGGCGCTGATCCACCAGGAGGCCTGGTCACAGACCGGGCCGCGGGGGCATTGACCCCCGAAACTCTCTCCAGGTAAACAAGAGGACACAGTATTATGGCACAATATGTGTGATGAAACATTAATTATAATGGTGCAGAGGTGAAAGCTCATGGCACTATGGCCCTGATGTATTAGTAATGGAATGTAAATTATAGCACAGATGGGGTGAAGCTTGTTTATGACATGTAAAGTGGCAGTATAAATTGGGACAGGTGAAGTATAAATTTATGCACATAATGGTAAGTTTTCTGGCAGTGCTGCTTAGAAATAATTTAGATATGACACTGGTTTGCTCTCTGGCCACAGTAAGAATAACTGAATGTACTGTATGAGATTACATATCGGTGCATTACATAAGATTTTTGAACTACTGAGTTCTTCAATGCCATAAAAGATCAGCACAGGACCAAAGTGAATTTGTTCAACACAGTGGATGGCAGAAGTACATTTAGTATGGAAGTCATCTGGGGGTGCTATAAAGGGAAAAAAAAAATTGCTTAGTTATAAAATCTGACTCTCAATCAATTCCATTTCTAAGGCATGAATGAAAGCAAATTGGTTTTGGTATAGATACATCTGGGGAAACTCCTGTCTCTAACAATATTATTAATGCAATACATATCCCTAATGAATAACCCAACAAAAAGCTGCAGTAAGAATAATCACTAAATCTCATCCCTGGCAACACCCCCCCCCACTCTTCATAGATCTAAACTTACTCCCTGTTCAGAACATCCACACTTACTACTGTGCAATCTATATCTACAGGACCTTAAATTCCAATATTAACCTTGACCTAAAACGCTTTCTTGATAGTTGTGACAGGATCCACAGGCATAACACCAGACACAAACATCTCTATGACATTCCCCGTGTTCGACTAAACCTTTACAAAAATTCAATGTATTTCAAAGGACCTAAAATCTGGAACACCCTACCTGAAAACTCTAGAACTGAAGACACATTCATCACTTTTAAAACTACAGTTAGAAAACATCTTATCTCCCTGATCCACCCCGACAACTAACTACATGATAACCACCTGGTGGTTCACAATTACACTCACTCACCCACTGACTATAAACCCAGACATACTAATCTTAATCTTAAAATAATAAATCCTAACTAGTCATAGGTTTGCCTATGATACACCAATATAGACAATTTGTATTGTGCCAAAACAAGAGCATTCACATTCCTAAACTCACAAATTATGATGTGGTCACTTAGCCTTAATACCATAATCTGTAAGGATTTAATGTTAAGAATTAATCAAAGTCTGCCCGAAATGCCTAGCCATGCTAGGTGTCCTAGTGGCCCCCTCTGTAATTAGTATTTTATAACATGTAAACCACACAATACCCAAAACCTGTAAACCCCACATTGTAACCCTTATAGAGAATAAACTTGAATTGAATTGAATGTACATGTGGGCAACAGCTTACCTTAGTACTTATATATATGGCCCTGGAGTATAGGCCATCATCCACATCCCTGGCCAAGGCAGGCTTATCCCGCCATACTTCAGAGACTGCCATGAGGAGGATGGGCCAAAGAGCAAGGCCAACCATAACATAATGGAAAGCAGCACGGTTATTGACATTATCCTGGTGCTGGACAGGCGCACTTCGAACATCCCAGTACACCGCACCCACCACCACTGACATCATCCCAGCCACCACTGTCATTGCCAACCAGTGCACCATGTTGTATGGGAACTGGTAAATCATTGCACGGCTGTAATTTTAATACAAAAAATTTAACTTTAATACATTTTTGAAAATGCTTAAAAAAAAAAAAAAAAAAAAAAAAAATGTACCGTCTAATTAGCTACCTGACAGCACTCTTACCTTAAATCAATCATGGTCTTAGCCAATATACAGGAGCAAGTACAGTATAAATTACTAAATTTAAAAAGAAATTTTTTCATTTTTCTTTTTAGTGTCACCCTACCTCAGTGGGATACAGCTGGTTCGCTGAAAAAATAAAGTACAGTGGTACCTAGAGTTACCAAATTAATTCGTTCCAGAAGGCTGTTCGAGTACAGATACTGAACGAATTTGTTCCCATAAGGAATAATGTAAATTAGATTAGCCCGTTTCAGACCCCCAAAAATACACTTACAAAAGCACTCACAAAAATACACTTACATAATTGTTCGAGTTGGGAGCTGTTTGAAACTCGAGGTACCACTATACAGTATAAACTTGCATAGGTTTTCATGTAACTTTTTGGATGGGACTTCAAGATTCACTAATGGGAACCACCTTTAGGTTTGGTAGTAGTTTACATAATGCCTTTGAATCATGCTAGCTTTAGATAAAGAGAAAACACAGGTGCATGCACGTGCACACACACAATCACACTCACTTTAAAGCCTCTGAACATAAAATGCCATTTATTTATATACGTATATTTTTTTTAACATACCAGCTGTATGCCACCGAAGAAGGGTGACCTAAAAAGAAAAATGAAAGTTTTTCTTTCGTTTTACTTTTTTAAGTTCAGTAATTATACAGGAGAAGGGGTTACTAGCCCCTTGCTCCCCACATTTTAGTTGCCTCAGATGACACGCATGGCTTGCGGACGAAGAATTCTTTTCCACTTCCACATGGAGAAAGGAGGAAATAAAGAACAACAGGAACTGTTAAGAAAATAGAAGAAAAACCAGATGGGTGTGTATATATATGTGTGAACATGCATGTGTAGAGTGACCTAAGTGTAAGCAAAAGTAGCATGATGTATGTACCTGGTATCCTGCATGTTTATGAGACAAAAAAAAAAAGACACCAGCAATTTTTTTTTTTCAAAAACTGGCCATATCCCACTGAGGCAGGGTGACCTAAAAAGAAAAAATGAAAGTTTCTCTTTTTAAATCTAGTAATGTATACAGAAGAGGATTACTAGCCCCTTGCCCCTGGCATTTTACAAACAAACAAAATAAAAGTTTATTTCTTTGCAAAGGTTACAATGTGTGTTTACATTTCATAATGTGATTGGTACAAAGAAAGCCACTATTATGCCGAGGTATTTTGGGCAGATTTAACCTAATACTTAAAGACTACTCAAGTCTAGCCAACTTCAAATATGCAATATTTTACTCAATTATTAATGAGGTTTACCAGGAGTGGGTTTCGGGGGTCAACGCCCGCGCGGCCTGGTCTGAGACCAGGCCTCATGGTAGATCAGGGTCTGATCAACCACGCTGTTACTGCTGGCCACACACAAGCTGACGTACGAACCACAGCCCGGTTGGTCAGGTACCGACTTTAGGTGCCTGTCCAGTGCATTTTTGAAGACAGCCAGGGGTCTATTGGTAATCCCCCTTATATATGCTGGGAGGCAATTGAACAGTCTTGGGCCCTGGACACTTATTATGTTGTCTCTCAGTATACTCGTGGCACCCCTGCTTTTCATCGGGGGAATGTTGCATATCTTGCTGAGTCTTTTGCTTTCATAGGGAGTGATTTTCATGTGCAGGTTTGGTACCAATCCCTCCAGGACCTTCTAAGTGTATATTATCATGTATCTCTCTCACCTGCATTCGAGGGAATTTAGATCAAGGACCTTTAACCGTTCCCAGTAGTTTAGGTGCCTTATTGTACTTATGTGTGTCGTGAAAGTTCTTCGTACACTCTCCAGGTCTGCAATGTCGCCAGCAGTATTCCAGCCTAGAGAGCACAAACGATTTGAAGAGAATCATCATGGGCTTGGCATCCCTAGTTTTGAAGGTTCTCATTATCCATCCTATCATTTTTCCAGCGGATGAGGTAGATACATTGTTGTGGTCTTTGAAGGCGAGATCCTCTGGCATTATCACTCCCAGGTCCTTCACATTACTTTTCTGCTCTATTGTATGGTTAGAATTTGTTGTATACGCTGACACATTTTTAATTTCTTCAAGTTCCCCATATCTGAGTAGTTGAAATTTCTCTTCGTTGAACTTCATATTGTTTTGAGTGGCCCAATCGAAGATTTGGTTGATGTCCACTTGGAGTCTCACAGTGTCTTCAATGGAGGTCACTGCCATGGTAATCAGGGTGTCATCCGCAAAGGAAGACAAGGAGCTATGGCTTACGTCTCTGTCTATGTCAGAAATGAGGATGAGGAATAGAATGGGAGCGGGTATTGTGCCTTGTGGAACAGAGCTTTTTACTGTGGCTGCCTGGGACTTTACTCTGTTTACTATTACTCTTTGTGTTCTGTTTGTCAGGAAGTTGTAGATCCATCTACCAACTTTTCCCGTTATTCCTTTATCACGCATTTTGTGTGCTATTACACCATGGTCACACTTGTCGAAAGCTTTTGCAAAGTTTGTGTATACTACATCTGTATTTTGTTTATCCTCTACAGCATCCAGGACCTTGTCATAGTGGTCCAGTAGCTGGGACAGGCAGGAGCGACCTGCTCTAAACTCGTGCTGCCCTGGGTTGTGTAATTGATGGGTATCTAGGTGGTTGGCTATTTTGCTTCTTAGAACCCTCTCTAAGATTTTTATATGGGATGTTAGTGCTATTGGTCTGTAGTTCTTTGCAATTGCTTTACTGCCACCTTTGTGAAGTGGGGCTATGTCTGTTGTTTTTAGTGTGCGTGTGGGATGACCCGTGTCCATGCTCCCTCTCCATAAAATGCTGAAGGCACGTGATAGGGGCTTCTTGCAATTCTTGATAAACATGGAGTTCCACGAGTCTGGGCCTGGGGCAGAGTGCATGGGCATGTCATGAACTGCCTCTCCAAAGTCTTGTGGAGTTAGAATAATATCCGAGATTTTTGGGATGACCAAATTTTGGGTTTTGTTCATAAAGAATTCATTTGGATTGTTGACCCTTAGTCTGGGCAGTGGCTCGCTGAACACTGAGCCATATTGGGACTTTAGTATCTCACTCATTTCTTGGCTATTATCTTTTTATGTCCCATCCCGCCTAAGCAGGGGCCCAATACTGGATGTTGTTTTTTCCTTAGATTTGGCATAAGAGAATAAGTATTTTTTTTTCTTTTTCAAAATCCTTTATGGCTTTTAGTTCTTCCTGTGATTCTTGTCTCCTATAAGATTCCTTCAGCTTAAGTTTGATATTTGCAATTTCACTGACTAGTGCCCCCCTTCGTATTTCAGATATATTGGCCTCACTCAGCAGCTCTGTGACTCTTCGCCTTCATCTGTATAGAGAACATCTCTCTCTTTCTAGTTTACATCTTCTGTTTTTCTTAATGAAATGTTTCTTGAGCAGATCTCAAGAACCGCAGAATTAATTTTTTCAAGGCAAATGTTCGGGTCTGCGTTGTTTAGGATATCTTCCCAGCTTGTTTCATTTAGGACATGGTTTACTTGATCCCACTGTATGTTTTTGTTATTGAAATTGAATTTCATGAAGAGTCCTTCATGACTGCTCACATTTTGCTGGTCTGGAGCCCTGTGTATACATGTCTGTACCTCTATTATGTTGTGATCCGAGTGTATTGTCTTTGATAAAATTATATTACATATCAGATCATCATTGTTAGTGAAGATGAGGTCCAGCGTATTTTCTAGTCTTGTAGGCTCTACTATTTGCTGAGTTATGGTGAATTTGGTACAGAGTTAATAGTTCGTGTGTGTGTGTGAATTTTCATCTGAGCTGCCTCCTGGGGTGATCTCTGCTAAAACATTGTTTGCTATACTCCTCCATTTTAGGTGTCTCAAGTTGAAATCTCCTAGTACTGTAGTAAGATGTTTGGGGCAGGAGTTGGGAGATTTTCCAGACAGTGGTCAATTTTCACAAGCTGCTGCTGGAACTGCTGGGAAGTTGCAGCTGGAGGCTTGTATACTACAACAATGACAAGGTTTTGGTTTTCAATCTTTACTGCCAAAACTTCAACTACATCATTTGAGGTGTTTAGTAGTTCTGTGCAAATGAGCAACTTTGTGACATACAAGCCAACCCCCCCCCCCCCATTGTTGCCTGTTTAGTCTGTCACATTGGAATAGGTTATAACCTGGGTTCCATATTTCATTGTCATAATGATCCTTTATGTGGGTCTCTGTGAATGCTGCAAACATTGCATTTGACTCCGTGAGCAGTCCCCTGATGTAAGGAATTTTCTTGTTTTTTGACGGCTTTAGACCCTGTATGTTTGCAAGGACAAATGTCGTTGTATTGGTGGAATTTAGGGGGGTTTTATTTGCTGGCTCTAATATCTGTTGTTCTGGAGTAGAGGCCAATGTCCGTGCCTCTGCTCCAGAAGTGTTTTCATGTGGTGTAGGTAGTACAATTTATGATACAACCTGGAGTTTACCTGGAGAGGGTTTCGTGGGTCAACCCCCCCCCCCCCCGTGGCCCAGTCTGAGACCAGGCCTCATAGTGGATCAGGGTCTGATCAACCATGCTGTTACTGCTGGCCGCACACAAGCCGACGTACGAACCACAGCCCAGTTGGTCAGGTACATTTTTAGGTTTGTAATAATGGCTTAATAGATAAGGGATAATAAAATATTTGGGAGAGTTGCTTCAAATTTGGTTAGAGATTAGCATAGTGTAGGCATGGTTATTATTGAAAGATGAGATGATTTTTAGTTATTTTTATTTTATGAACACAATGGTTGTTTCCCACCAAGGCTGGGTGGCCCGAAAAAGAAAAACTTTCAACCGCATTCACTCCATCACTGTCTTGCCAGAGGCATGCTTACACTACAGTTATATTACTGCAACATTAACGCCCCTCCTTCAGAGTGCTGGCACTGTACTTCCCATCTCCAGGAATCAAGTCTGGCCTGCTGGTTTCCCGGAATCCCTTCATAAATGTTACCATGCTTACACTCCAACAGCACGTCAAATCCTAAAAACCATTCGTCTCCATTCACTCCTATCTAACATGTTCATGCATGCTTGCTGGAAGTCCAAGCCTCTTCGTACACAAAACCTCCTTTACCCCCTCCTTCCAGCCTTTCCTAGGCCAACACCTACCCCACCTTCCCTCCACTACAGACTTAGTGGAGGGAAGGAAGTAAATATATTTAATATTTTCTAGGTGTCAAAAGACTTACATCCACAGACCAAGGAGCTGAAGGCATAGGTTCTCTTTATGGACTTTTGGTGGAAGAGGTCCTGGAGGCCCTGGATCACTCAGTGCCTCTTGCCGGCGTCTGAAAGTTTCTGCCAGCATCTCCACTCTCTGTGATGATTCAAGCATCGCCTCAGCACTCAGATCATCCAAAGTCACCAGATCAACTGTGGAATATTACTGAAAATGACACACATATAGCCCATACTCACAAGGTTAGGGTCAGTTTTTGACCATAAAGATTATTCTTCTTCTTCCTTTCAACAAACCGGCTGTATCCCACTAAAGCAGGGTGGCCCAAAAAGGAGAACAAAAGTTTCTCTTTTTAACTTTAGTAATGTATAGAGAAGGGGTTACTTACCCCTTGCTCCTGGCATTTTAGTCGCCTCTTACGACACGCATGGTTTATGGAGGGAGAATTCTGTTCCATTTCTCCATGGAGATAAGAGGAAATAAACAAGAACAAGAACTAGTAAGAAAATAGAAGAAAACCCAGAGGGGGTGTGTGTACATGCATGTGTAATGTTACCTAAGTGTAATTAAAAGTAGCAAGACATACCTGAAATCTTGCATGTTTAAGAGACCGAAAAAAGACACCAGCAATCCTACCATCATGTAAAACAATTACAGGCTTCCGTTTTACACTCACTTGGCAGGACGGTAGTACCTCCCTGGGCGGCTGCTGTCTACCAACCTACTACCTAAAACCATAAAGATTCACTTTATGAAAAATTTCATATTAGTTTTATTAATAATGCTTGAAATTTTACTAAATTTAAAATTTAACTTTGCTGGATATATTTAAAAAAAATGAAAGGATTAACATGGAAAGTTGAAATGTTGGACTCTGCTTGGAAATGTAGTAAACCTCCAAGATTATTACTAAATTTAATACTGGTTATGGCCACAGGAAAGTAAAGATAATTTTTGCACTATTGGTTTAGGGTTCATTTAAAGTACTGAACAACTACAGGTATAAAGTACTTGAGCTCATTATGTACCAACTACATACCTAACAATAATAACAGCAAGTTTATTGTAGCACGATACATGTTTGTACAAAGGAGTGTAACAATTTGGTGAACATACCAAAAGCCCATAAAGTACTTATGTTCATTACAAGAATTATACAATTGCAGTTACTGAGTACTGCCCAATAATATGGTGGGTTTTATTACAAGTATTGAATACTTACGATAGTAATCTGAGGGATTCTTGTAAGCTGGACATGGGTACTCAATGAAGGCAAAGTATGGAAGCATTTCTCTCCTCCTGCCAAAATACATTAGACGACCTGTGGATATGAGTGCCACACGCGAAATCATGGTGAAGATCTCGTAGGTGGGAGGTTGTATTGTTAGGATCTGTGGAAATTCATGAGTGATGCATAGTACAGCTGATATATGATATACAGGTGCTCATAAACTTATGATGGGGTTATGTTCCGATGAACTCATCATTAGTCAAAAATATTACAAGTCAAATATGAATATATGCTAAATAAATAAGTAAATAAATAACTACTCTCACTAGGAATGGTTGAAGCCCCATAATCTGTATTCATTGGAATGCAGGCAAGAAAGATGCATGAAAAATCCCAGAGGAACTAGTCTCAAATCTGCACATGGAAATCACTCCCTACGAAAACAAAAGACTTGGCAGGCAGTGCAACATCCCTTCCCAATGAAAAGCAGGGGCACCCTGAGTACATTAAGAGATGACACAATAAGTGTCTGAGTCCCAAGATTATTCAACTGCCTCCCAGCATACATAAGAGGGATTACCAACAGACTCCTGTCTTCAAGAGGGAGTTGGAGAAGCATGTAAAGTCAGTACCTGAATAGCTGGGCTGTGGTTTGTACATTGGTTTGCATGCAGCCAGCAGTAACAGCCTTACTGATCAGGACTGATCATAGGCCAGGACAAGGGGACGTTGACCTAACCTAACACCCTCCAGGTATACTCCAGGAATAAGTAAATAAGCAAATAATTACTATAACTAAATACGATGTCACCGTGGTTGTTTAATATATTTATAGATGGGGTTGTAAGAGAAGTGAATGCGAGGGTCTTGGCAAGAGGCGTGGAGTTAAAAGATAAAGAATCACACACAAAGTGGGAGTTGTCACAGCTGCTCTTTGCTGATGACACTGTGCTCTTGGGAGATTCTGAAGAGAAGTTGCAGAGATTGGTGGATGAATTTGGTAGGGTGTGCAAAAGAAGAAAATTAAAGGTGAATACAGGAAAGAGTAAGGTTATGAGGATAACAAAAAGATTAGGTGATGAAAGATTGAATATCAGATTGGAGGGAGAGAGTATGGAGGAGGTGAACGTATTCAGATATTTGGGAGTGGACGTGTCAGCGGATGGGTCTATGAAAGATGAGGTGAATCATAGAATTGATGAGGGAAAAAGAGTGAGTGGTGCACTTAGGAGTCTGTGGAGACAAAGAACTTTGTCCTTGGAGGCAAAGAGGGGAATGTATGAGAGTATAGTTTTACCAACGCTCTTATATGGGTGTGAAGCGTGGGTGATGAATGTTGCAGCGAGGAGAAGGCTGGAGGCAGTGGAGATGTCATGTCTGAGGGCAATGTGTGGTGTGAATATAATGCAGAGAATTCGTAGTTTGGAAGTTAGGAGGAGGTGCGGGATTACCAAAACTGTTGTCCAGAGGTGCTGAGGAAGGGTTGTTGAGGTGGTTCGGACATGTAGAGAGAATGGAGCGAAACAGAATGACTTCAAGAGTGTATCAGTCTGTAGTGGAAGGAAGGCGGGGTAGGGGTCGGCCTAGGAAAGGTTGGAGGGAGCGGGTAAAGGAGGTTTTGTGTGCGAGGGGCTTGGACTTCCAGCAGGCATGCGTGAGCGTGTTTGATAGGAGTGAATGGAGACAAATGGTTTTTAATACTTGACGTGCTGTTGGAGTGTGAGCAAAGTAACATTTATGAAGGGATTCAGGGAAACCGGCAGGCCGGACTTGAGTCCTGGAGATGGGAAGTACAGTGCCTGCACTCTGAAGGAGGGGTGTTAATGTTGCAGTTTAAAAACTGTAGTGTAAAGCACCCTTCTGGCAAGACAGTGATGGAGTGAATGATGGTGAAAGTTTTTCTTTTTCGGGCCACCCTGCCTTGTTGGGAATCGGCCAGTGTGATAATAAAAAAAAAAATAAAAAAAATAAAAAAATAAATAAATACGACCTAGGTAGTAGGTTGGTAGACAGCAACCGCCCAGGGAGGTACTACCGTCCTGCCAAGTGAGTGTAAAACGAAAGCCTGTAATTGTTTTACATGATGGTAGGATTGCTGGTGTCCTTTTTTCTGTCTCATGAACGTGCAAAATTTCAGGTACGTCTTGCTACTTCTACTTACACTCAGGTCACACTACACATACATGTACAAGCGTATATATACATACCCCTCTGGGTTTTCTTCTATTTTCTTTCTAGTTTCTTGTTCTTGTTTATTTCCTCTTATCTCCATGGGGAAGTGGAACAGAATTCTTCCTCCGTAGGCCATGTGTGTTGTAAGAGGCGACTAAAATGCCGGGAGCAAGGGGCTAGTAACCCCTTCTCCTGTATATATTACTAAATTTGAAAGGAGAAACTTTGGTTTTTATTTTTGGGCCACCCCGCCTCGGTGGGATATGGCCGGTGTGTTGAAAGAAAGAACGAACTAAATACGAGTATTGAAAAGTAAATACGTAAATGAATACAGGTTACAGACTTGCTGCTGTCATGCTGGGTAATTATCTTAACAAAATACCAAGCTCAAACACCCATCCATCAGACTACCTCACAGGTACCTACCCAAATACACTATTCCTAGCCCCAACCAACCCACTAGAAGTCTCGCTCATTATCAACACCCTTAAAAATAAGGCAGGAGACATAAACAACTTGACTGCTTTTATGTACAAAAAATCTTCTCAGGTATTGTCACCAATTATTGCAACACTCTTTAACAAATCCATTGAATTATCCGCCTTCCCAACAATCCTCAAAATAGCGAGGGTCACTCTGATCTATAAAGGAGGTTACCAAGCTGACTTAAATAACTATAGACCAATATCTAACTTACCACTGCTCTCTAAAATCTTTGAAAAATTCATTCATAGAAGGATCTATTCCTACCTCGTCTCACACAACATATTAAACCCTTGTCAGTTGGATCCAGAAATACTAAAAGCACAAATGATGTTATCATACACATGCTAGAACTAATATATACTGCACTCGAAAAGAAAGAAGTCCCGCTGGGCATTTTCATTGATTTACGTAAAGCTTTTGATACAGTCGACCATGAACGACTGTACTAAAAATTAACGCACTATGGTATCAGAGGCCACTCCCTCAACTACCTAAAGTCATACCTTAGTAGCAGAAATCAATGTGTGTACACAAATGGTGCAAACTCCTCCACCCAACCAATCACAGTAGGAGTCCCACAAGGAAGTGTCCTAGGACCACTCCTCTTTCTCATCTACATCAATGATCGACTGAATGCATCACAGCTACTCAAACCCATATTATTTGCATATGACACTACATACGTCTTCTCCCACCCAAACCCAGTCATACTCGCCAACAATGTCAATGCCGAATGGCAGAAAATATCTGCCTGGATGTTGACCAATAAGCTTACCCTGAATACTGATAAAACCTATTTCATTCAATTTGGAAACAAAGCTGCAAATGTTCCGCTTAACATAACGCTAAACGGATCATCAGTCACAAGACTTGCAGAGGGAAAATTCCTAGGTATCCACCTTGACAGTAGCCTGAAGTTCCACATACATATACAACAAATCACCAAGAAAATCTCTAAGACTGTAGGCATGCTATCAAAGATACGGTACTATGTTCCACAATCAGCTCTCCTGGCACTGTACCATTCACTCATATACCCTTATCTCACATATGGAATTTGTGCATGGGGATCAACAACATTAAATCACCTAAGACCTCTAATAACCCAGCAAAAGGCAGCAGTCAGAATGATAACAAATTCCCACTCCCGCCAGCATACTCCACCAATTTTCAAAAGTCTAAATCTGCTTACCATTAAGAACATCCATACTTATTCATGTGCCTACTACATACACAGAACAATACACACAAATATAAACCCTCCACTCAAACTTCTCCTCACCAACCTTAACAGGACACATGACCATAACACAAGACACAGATCTCTTTTTGATGTACCTCATGTCCATATCACACTGTGTAAAAACTATGCACATAATGGGCCCCAAAATATGGAATTCATTACCAGACGATACTAAAGTAACCCAGTCTGAAAATCAATTTAAGACTTCTCAAAAGCCACTTAATCACCCTAGACTAAATGCTAAATACTCAGAACTCACATACTCAATATGTATTCCCATATCATAATTTCAACAATTACTTTTGAACCTTTTATCCATTGTTGACAGGAATATAGTTGAATCATTGTTTTCACAAAAAGCATTTTGGAATATATGAATATATCTTTTGTCTTGTATATTTTAGATTCACTTATAATTAATAACCTACTATACAACTATGATATAATTCTTAGTGTTAGTAGCCTAGGCATAATAGAGGCTCTCTTTGCATTGCAACCCTTTATTGTAAATACATAATCTCAATGCACTATTTGCAAAGACATAAATAAATAAATAAATCGTAAAGTCGAACTATCTTAAGTCGAACCATCGTAAGTCAAGGAGCACCCGTATAGGTGGGAGACATAATGATGCACAGTAGTACGTAGATTTAATACGAAATACATACTAAAATGAAAAACAAAAAATCATCAAGAATATTTAGTTTGCAACTACTTTATCATGCTGCAACCTTAACACTACCTGAGTTCCTTAACAAAATACCTAAGTGATGGTTTCAATACTTTAACTTACCACTATCCGGCCTCGACATGCCCACTGTCTCAGGTACTCGACAAGAAAGAAGGTGTCGAAGATGTCCATGCCTCGAGTGGGCTGATCAAGGAGGACGACATCAGTCTCCAGTAAAAGGTGACAAGCCACATTGAGCCGACGTCGCTCACTTAGAGTCAGGTCTTTTACTCGTGTGTGTCGCACCTGTTCTAGCCCCAGGTCATTGATCAGCCCATTGATCTGAGGGCAAAGCAAATTAATTAGTAATGGCTTAATTAGCAATGATCACTATACTATCACTATACAATCACTCAAGTATAGCACCACTTGATATTTAACCAATATCACATTAAATATCACAAAACTAATGTAGTGTGTTAAAGCCAGTGGTGAGTGGGGATGCTGGTGTGTCATGACAGGTGCTTCAAGCACTAAATACCTTCATGACATGTGAACCCCTGTCCTCTCCTTCCCTTACTAACACTGAGGTATGTAGGCAGTGAGTGAAGAAGGCAGTGACTAATATGCCCTCCATTACAGGACAGGACACTTTCCTAGGGCCCCAGCCATCCAACCCCACTGTCCTTTCTCTCGGCCAGGGCTGAGGCCTCCCTCCATGGCTCCCAGGCTACTCACCCACTGCCATCCTTCACCAACAAACCAACACTATCCCCCAATGAGCCAACAGCTCACAGTCTAATACAAGCATAAATAATAAATCTCTATTCTTGACCAATCTTACCCCCCCCCCCAAAAAAAAAATGAGACCTTCATTCATGCATACAATAAATATTCACAAGTTATGAATGCTTTTGGTAAAAAACTGAGAAAAAAAATATGTGGAATTAGCGAAGTCTGACAACACATCCCTATCTTTTACACATTATACTGGGTTAACTATACGTGATTTTTCTTTATGTACCACTGTCTATTAACACATTCATCATATGATAATGATAATGATGTTTACTTCATTAAGCCATACAAGTAATGTAGTTTAAATGTATTAATACAATAGTAGGCACCAAAGCAAACAAGAGGACTCCACTAGCAATAGTGAGGATATATTACCAAAAAAAACTGGTGGGAGCTCCATTGTTGGTGCTAGGGAGGATAGGAATAAGACAGGGAAACATGCACCAACAGGGAATACAGTCACAGAAACCCAAGGCAAACGGAAACCAAGCCTGTGCACATACTATGCACTTGGTATCTGCAGGCATGGGAAATCTGGAAAAACAGATGGGACGTGCAACTATGACCACCCTAGAAAATGCCGTGCCCATATGACAACAGGAAAATGCAAACTCCCTTCCTGTAAGCTTTTTCACCCTGAAATGTGTACCTCTTCAGTACAGGAAAGACTGTGCTATAACTTAAATTGCCAGGCACACCATCTAAAGGGGACAAAAAGATACAAAACATCCAGGCCATGGGAAAACCTGGGTAGCCACAGCCACTCAAGAGGGAGAGGTTTTTTAGTGCCAAGAAGGGAAAAAAACTGGCAGGAAATGGCAGAAATCGTACACCAAATCCAGTCATTCCTGGAGTGGAACCCCCGAAACTCTCTCCAGGTAAACTCCAGGTAAACAGTCAATGGCTTCCACTCCAAACCAACAGATACTAATGCCGGAAAAAAAATCCCCCCCCAGTACCAACAATACCACCAGTCCGATGACTTTCTTCTTTGCAAATATACAGGGTCTAAAGCCAGCAACAAACAACAAAATACCTTTCATCCGTGGACTGCTTGCAGAGGGAAAGGCAATGTTTGTGGCTTTCACTGAGACCCACATAAAGGATCACTTGGACAACGAAATATGGATCCCAGGTTACAACCTATACAGATGTGACAGAGTGAACAGGCAAAGGGGGGGGGGGTTGGCCTGTACATTGCAGAGTCACTTGTTTGCACAGAACTGTTTAATGCCTCAAATGATGTAGTGGAAGTTTTAGCAGTAAAGGTCGAGAACCAAAACCTAGTCATTGTGGTAGTCTACAAGCCTCCAGATGCAACATCCCAGCAATTCCAGGAACAGCTGTTAAAAATTGACCACTGTCTGGAAAATCTTCCAGCTCCTGCACCCAACATCTTGCTCCTGGGGGATTTCAACTTAAGGCACCTAAAATGGAGGAATATAGCAAATAATATTGTTGCAGTAATAACACCAGGAGGCAGCTCTGATGAAAACTCACACTCACACGAGCTTTTAAATCGCGGGAAGAACTAAAAGCCATAAATGAAATCGAAAGAAACCCAAAGTATTTCTTCTCCTATGCCAAATCAAAGTCGAGAACAACGTCCAGTACTGGGCCCCTACTTAAACAAGATGGGTCCTACACAGATGACAGCAAGGAAATGAGTGAGCTACTCAAGTCCCAATATGACTCAGTTTTTAGCAAGCCGCTAACCAGACTGAGAGTCGAAGATCAAAATTAATTTTTTATGAGAGAGCCACAAAATTTGATTAACACAAGCCTATCCGATGTTATCCTGATGCCAAATGACTTCGAACAGGCGATAAATGACATGGCCATGCAATCTGCCCCAGGGCCAGACTCATGGAACTCCGTGTTCATCAAGAACTGCAAGAAGCCCCTATCACGAGCCTTTTCCATCCTATGGAGAGGGAGCATGGACACGGGGGTCGTCCCACAGTTACTAAAAACAACAGACATAGCCCCACTCCACAAAGGGGGCAGTAGAGCAACAGCAAAGAACTACAGACTGATAGCACTAACATCCCATATCATAAAAATCTTTGAAAGGGTCCTAAGAAGTAAGATCACCACCCATCAGTTACACAACCCAGGGCAACATGGGTTTCGAACAGGTCGCTCCTGTCTGTCTCAACTATTGGATCACTATGACAAGGTCCTAGATGCACTAGAAGACAAAAAGAATGCAGATGTAATATATACAGACTTTGCAAAAGCCTTCGACAAGTGTGACCATGGCGTAATAGCGCACAAAATGCGTGCTAAAGGAATAACAGGAAAAGTCGGTCGATGGATCTATAATTTCCTCACTAACAGAACACAGAGAGTAGTCGTCAACAGAGTAAAGTCCGAGGCAGCTACGGTGAAAAGCTCTGTTCCACAAGGCACAGTACTCGCTCCCATCTTGTTCCTCATCCTCATATCCAACATAGACAAGGATGTCAGCCACAGCACCATGTCTTCCTTTGCAGATGACACCCGAATCTGCATGGCAGTGTCCTCCATTGCAGACACTGCAAGGCTCCAGGCGGACATCAACCAAATCTTTCAGTGGGCTGCAGAAAACAATATGAAGTTCAACGATGAGAAATTTCAATTACTCAGATATGGTAAACACGAGGAAATTAAATCTTCATCAGAGTACAAAACAAATTCTGGCCACAAAATAGAGCGAAACGCCAACGTCAAAGACCTGGGAGTGATCATGTCGGAGGATCTCACCTTCAAGGACTATAACATTGTATCAATCGCATCTGCTAGAAAAATGACAGGATGGATAATGAGAACCTTCAAAACTAGGGAGGCCAAGTCCATGATGACACTCTTCAGGTCACTTGTTCTATCTAGGCTGGAATACTGCTGCACACTAACAGCACCTTTCAAGGCAGGTGAAATTGCTGACCTAGAAAATGTACAGAGAACCTTCACGGCGCGCATAACGGAGATAAAACACCTCAATTACTGGGTGCACTTGAGGTTCCTAAACCTGTATTCGCTGGAACGCAGGCGGGAGAGATACATGATTATATAGACCTGGAAAATCCTAGAGGGACTAGTACCGAACTTGCACACGAAAATCACTCACTACGAAAGCAAAAGACTTGGTAGACGATGCAACATCCCCCCAATGAAAAGCAGGGGTGTCACTAGCACGTTAAGAGACCATACAATAAGTGTCAGGGGCCCGAGACTGTTCAACTGCCTCCCAACATACATAAGGGGGATTACCAACAGACCCCTGGCAGTCTTCAAGCTGGCACTGGACAAGCACCTAAAGTTGGTTCCTGACCAGCCGGGCTGTGGCTCGTACGTTGGTTTGCGTGCAGCCAGCAGTAACAGCCTGGTTGATCAGGCTCTCATCCACCAGGTCGCCTGGTCACAGACCGGGCCGCGGGGGCGTTGACCCCCGGAACTCTCTCCAGGTAAACTCCAGGTAAAGAAAGCCACTAATAATGCACTGCATTTTGGGCAACTAATCATAAAGGTAAACATGCTATTTAAGAACTAGATATCGCATATTAAGTAGGACTTCTTGTTTAGTCAGCTACAATTTAAGTACAATATAAAAGATAGCTAATGACAAAAGGGCAATACTAAAGATTTTTATTATTATTATTATTATTAATACATCGGCCGTCTTCCACCAAGGCAGGGTGGCGCGAAAAAGAAACTTTTATCATCATTCACTCCATCACTGTCTTGCCAGGGGCATGCTTACACTACACTTATAAAATTGCAACATTAACACCCCTCCTTCAGAGTTGAGACACTGTACTTCCCATCTCCAGGACTCAAGTCTGGCCTGCCGATTTCCCTGAATCCCATTTGCATTTTATCTTCCAAGGCTTTAGTGACAGGCAGGATCTTCTTACTCTTTAGAACTGCCACAATGCCTTACGCTGATTATAAAAGCATTACATTCATGGGTGTACACTAAACCCAAAAATCATAGTGCCTGAAAATGGCAGACCATCAACTTTGATCCAAGGAGAGTAACTCATACTTTCTGGCTCAAGAGCCTTTCACTAGCATCAAGGTACCTGCTCGCCCTTGACTGCTTAGGTTTCGTAGCTCATCCCCTCAAGTCTTCATGCTAATGAGGGACTCTTGATCCAAGGAACTGAACTCCTCTTCCCCTTTCTTGGATCGAACCTGATTGTCTTTCATTTCCATTCGGAGTTAGCGGTATTAAATTTATTGATCGTTAAACCCGTAGGGGTCATACAGCCCCTAAGGGAATAGAAGGCATTCAGGCTTGATTCAAGGAATTGCATTTGTTCATTTCCTTAGATCAAGTGCCTTTTACCAGCGCCAAGGAACCTTCCTTGAGGGGTATTATTAGTGTTGTTATGGCTGATAACTGTGTGTCCTGCACAAGACAATCAATTTCAGACGATACTGATCAAGAAATAGTGTAGAATCGAGACCAGGAAATTTTATCAATATTTTTTCATCCGGGGAAAAGTGTTAAGCCTACAGGGAACATGTAGTGCCTGGAGAATAGGCGGCATTCAGGTTTGATCCAAGGAAGTGGAAATATCTGATTTTATGGATCAAGGCACCTCTTAAGAGGCTGGCTATATATATCTGCAGCTTTAATTAAGGGTAGACACTAAGTTTATTAAGATATCGGTAGACATAAGTACAACTTAATTTACACTACAATTACATAATGTAAATTACCTAGGATAATCCCCCTAAAAATCAGAGTGACTAATTTCCAATGGGGATTCTTGACGAATAACTAGTTTCCACATTTCATGGATTATAATACTTACTATAGAATGTTACATATGAACATGTGCAATGCTCACCCTTGCCTTAACATCTCTGACCCTGGAAAGGTCACCAGAGGAACGGAAGAAGGTGTGAAGAAGCAATGTTTGACGAACGCTCATGTCTGGGCAGAAGTTAACATCCTGCTGCACATATGCTGATCTGGAAGCCACCTGGTGGGACATATAAACTCAATGGTGATAATCTGAGGTGACAGTAATTAGTGAGGAGGATAGTACAGGTATATTAATGACATTAATGGTTTTTACTGGACGTGGTGATAATTATTTATCTGCTGATCACCAGTTGAAAGTTCCAGGATAAATCCTCGTCACACCAACCTGTTCGACGGCCACTCACTGGTTACTTTGCAGTCTCCACGTACATTTACTTTTTAATCAAGAGGAAATGCTAATCTCTTAGGTGTCATATAGCACCTGGAGAGTTGGAGGCATTCAGGTTTGATCCAAGGAAGGGGAGAATAAGTCCTGTCCCTTAGATCAAGAGCCCCTCATCGACATCAAGGTCCCTCTCTCCTGTGAGAGAATACACATTCAAAATACTAATGCTGGTACAATACACAACTATTTTAAGGGTGGTAATGGTCACAGTATTTATGGTATACCCCAATACTTATGATGATCATGAAAACACTGATAATGATGACTGGTTGTAATGATGACAGAAATAATATGTGACTTGTTAATGGTCATCAAAATTGGACCGACACGTCGTCATATGTTTACCCTCAACTAAGTGCGGGTTACCTGTGTGTTGAACTGATAAAGGTGACCAACATAAACCGATACATGATAATAATAGCAGTGTTAATAATAATATTAATGGTAATTGTGTTTAATAAAGGATGATTACAATAAATAATAATGGTGGTTGTAAGAATAATGATAACAGCGTGGGTGATGCAACAATTATAATAGTGGTGTAGGTGATGCAATAATACTAGTGGTGTGAGTGATGCAATAATAATAATTTTGTGTAGTAGTATACTACCTGAACCATTATCATGTTAATAACAGTGATATAGTAATACTAACATTAGTATTTAAGACATTAACAATTATGATAATAACCAGGATGATAACGAAAATATATGATCAGAGATTCTAATATTATCTGCAGTTTCTGTATAAACAATAAAATAAAGTTTTAATGATAAATCGACTTATTTTTTGCTACATTACTAAATGCACTCTTTCTTGGTTATTTAAAATATATCTTACTGATGAATAATGTAAGTCCTCACATTGAAAACATTTTGTTATATCTGCATACAAAAATTACATTAGCATACTACTGGTTAAGTAAATTGATTTTATAATTTACAGCATTTGGATAACAGTGAGTCCAGTGCTAGTTAGTGTGGCTGGAGTCATCATAAGTAGTCTGAGGTTACTGTAGGATCATTCAAGATCTCTGAAGCCACAAATCAGTTTAGGGGCATCAGCTTTACAATATATGGGTTACAAAAAAGTCAGCGAAAGATCTTGAAAGGTTATACTAGTAGATGAGTTAGTAAGATGAAAAGACTAACTTTGGATGGCTTGGTGTGGTTGCCATTAAGGATAAAATCTCCACGTAGTCGACCATTCCACCGAGCGTGTCGGTTGGCCAGGACATCTAGCAGACACGATCCCTCCGACTCTGGAACAAGACCAGTCTTATTCAAATTTCAGATAATAATACTGTTGAGAAAGTTTTATACGAACTTCTTCAGAATAAAATATGTCATCTACCACATATAAAGCCAATACTGAACATGTAGTACCAGTGTTCGTCTCACGACTGGAACACCTAAGAGGTACAGTAGATTCAGAAATTTATCACCAAACTATTCCCCGAAATACCTGAACTATGAAGAGAAGGGACATGGTCACAACACAAGATATAAGCACAGTACTAACATGCTACAAGACAGCAGAGTGCACTTATTACAAGTATATCTGAAATATCGTGTATATGAACAATGATTATCCTGCCAGTGCCAGAAACTATATATAGCACATATAAGAGTTTCAAGTCACGTCTTGTAATGTTACGCCGCAATAAAGGCAAAGTTGTAATGACCAGTTTGCAACAACACTCAACAATTGCAGACACCTGACTGCTGCCGACGTAGTATGAACGCCATTAAGATGAGTCGTGGTTAACGTAGTGTATTCTGGCGCTTGTATTGTTCTGCCTTGTGTACTCTGGCGTATCACTGCTTGGTTATAATGTCTTGACAGTTTTATCAAGACAGTTAACTTAGTCTCTGGAACATTGGGAGCATCATCTGCTGCTTGTGAGGTGTATTGGTCAATATCTTCACTTACGGTAAATATTGGGTGGACTCCTAACCATAATTACTTATGATCAACATGTTCTTTTTATTGAAGTAACTGTACTTGTCACCCTATTTTTTGTTGCACTTGTGTGTGGGTGCTCATAAGCGCCACACACACACCAGCAACGAGCTGGCGGGGCCAGGAGCTGTGAATCGACCCCTGCAAAGACAAACAGGTGAGTACACACATACACAGATCATATAACCATGCAGAGTTGTGGAAACTGAGAAAAAGCCATTAACAAAGGTAGGTCCAAGGAGAGAGAGTCCATCGCCACTTCAATTTTCTCAAAGTTTATCACTGAACCTTAAAAAAATCTTATGAACAGACAATTTTAACAAAAAATGGTTATTTACTGTAAAGTCTTTTTTTTGGATTCAGCAAATAAAAAAAAAGAGCTGGGTTCTTTAATGAAAGTGTCCGTTCATGATTATTTTTATATCCAATGATAAACTTTCAAAGCAGACTGACAGGTGATCTTAACAATGCAAGACAAGCCACGGGGGAGGGAGGGGGGGGTGGAAATGTTTAGCTCAAGTACTTTCACAGTTCTCAGTGCATCATCAGGAGCTGTATAATGTTGCAAGAGTAGCAACTGAAGAAATGAAAGACGTTTTCTCAGAGTAGGACAGTGTGACACCAACCACAGCTCGTGTCACACCGAGGCAGGGTGAACTAAAAAGAAAAACTTCATTTTTCTTTTTAAATTTAGTAATTTATACAGAAGGGGTTTCTAGCCCTTTGCTGCCAGCATTATAGTGGCCTCTTACGACACATGGCTTACAGGGGAAGAATTCTTTTCCATTTCCTCATGCAATAATTATTGCACACGCAAATTTTCACTTGCCTTATTCGGCAACAGGAGCGTTGCTATTTAAGCCAGAATCTCAAGTTTTACCTATTTGGCACGACACACACACACACAATATATATAATGTGTGTGTGTGTGTGTGTGTGTGTGTGTGTGTGTGTGTGTGTGTGTGTGTGTGTGTGTGTGTGTGTGTGTGTATGTGTGTGTGTGTGTGTGTATGTGTGTGTGTGTGTGTGTGTGTGTGTGTGTGTGTGTGTGTGTGTGTGTGTGTGTGTGTGTTTGTGTGTGTGTGTGTGTGTGTGTGTGTGTGTGTGTGTGTGTGTGTGTGTGTGTGTGTGTGTGGCCAAACAGGTAAAACTTGCTATTCTGGCTTAAATAGCAACGCTCTTGTTGCCGAATAAGGCAAGCGAAAATGTGTGTGCAATAATTTCGCAAAAATCATTCTGAATCTAACGAAAAAAATATATATTTCATTGTGTTTCTTTATTATTAAATAACTGTAAACTTATCTAAAATGTATTTAGTTGGATTAGGCTAATTTAATTGCGCTTGTTATAATAAGGTTAGGCAAGTTTTCTAAGGTTCTTTTAGTACAAAATTGTTAATTTTTACATTAACATAAATGAAGAAATATATCTTTAAACGTATAAGAGAAAATTTTAGAAAGGACTTAATTTTAAATGAGTTCTTGCTAACTGACCAGTTTTATCTATTCGGAGAGATGAATTAATTTATTCTGAATAATTACACTGCAATAAATATGCAGTAAACTTATAGGACAGTATACATATACTTCATGCTGCGGTATAACAAATCGTGTCTATCTTCCTGGAGTGTGTTCAGAGGGTCAACACCTCCGTGGTCCAGTCCATTACTCTGCCTCCCTGGTGGATCAGGACGTAATCAGCCAGGCTGTTACTACTGGACGCACGCAGTCCAACGTACAAACTACAGCCCGGCTGCTCAGGAACTGACTTTAGGAGCCTATCCAATTCCCTCTTGGAGACAGCTAGGGGTTTATTGGTAATCTTCGTTATGTATGATGGAAGGCTGTTGAATAATCTTGGGCCCCTTACACTTACTGTATTGTCTCTCAGTGTACCCATGACACTCCTGCTTTTCACTGGGGGACTGTTGCGCCGTTAAAAGAGGTTTTTTTTTCAAAAGGAGCGATTTGTGCATGCAGATTTGGGGCCAGTCTCTCTAGGATTTTCCAGGTGTAAATTATTATGCAACTTTCTCGCTTGCGTTCCAAGGGGTATACTTCAAGGGACTTCAAACATTCCCAGTAATTAAGGTTCCTGACTGAGCTTATACATGCAATGAGGATTCTATGTACATTCTCTAGATCTGCAATTTTACTTTCCTTAAAAGGGGCTGTTAGTGCGCAGTAGTAATCCAGCTGAAAGAAAACAAGTGACTTTAAGAGGCTAATCAATGGCTTAGTATCCCTTGTTTTGAAGGTTCTCATTATCCATCCCATCATTTTCTTCGAAATCTTTTGCAAAGTCTGTGTATACTACATCTGCACCCTGTCCTCCGGTGCATCCAAAACCATGTCATATTGGTCCAGTAATTGCGAGAAGCACGAACGACCTGCTTCAAACTCGTGCTGTCCTGGGTCGTGAAATTGTTGGGAATAAAAGTGGCGGCGATCTTGCTTCTTAAAACCCTTTCAAAGATTTTTATAGTGTGAGACGTTACTTACCCCAAAAACTGCCGTGCAACCAAAAAGCTCATAAGTCGGTTGACTATAAACTTGTCAATAAAGAAACATCAAACAACCGTCAGCATGGGTTTAGAGCAGGTCGCTCCTGTCTGTCTCAAGTATTGGATCACTACGACAAGGTCCTAGATGCACTAGAAGACAAAACGAATGCAGATGTAATATATACAGACTTCGCAAAAGCCTTCGACAAGTGTGACCATGGCGTAATAGCGCACAAAATGCGTGCTAAAGGAATAACAGGAAAAGTTGGTAGATGGATCTATAATTTCCTCACAAACAGAACACAAAGAGTAGTATTCAACAAAGTAAAGTCCGAGGCGGCTACAGTGAAAAGCTCTGTTCCACATGGCACAGTACTCTCTCCCATCTTATTACTCATCCTCATATCTGACAGACAAGGATGTCAGCCACAGCACCTTGTCTTCCTTTGCAGATGACACCCGAATCTGCATGACAGTGTCTTCCATTGCAGACACTGCAAGCCCATTGAAAGATTTGGTTGATGTCCAGGCGGACATCAACCAAATCTTTCAATTGGCTGCAGAAAACAATATGAAGTTCAACGATGAGAAATTTCAATTACTCCGATATGATAAACACGAGGAAATTAAAACTTCATCAAAGTACAAAACAAATTCCGGCCACAAAATAGAGCGAAAAACCAACGTCAAAGACCTGGGTGTGATCATGTCGGAGGATCTCACCTTCAAGGACCATAACATTGTATCAATCGCATCTGCTAGAAAAATGACAGGATGGATAATGAGAACCTTCAAAACTAGGGATGCCAAGCCCATGATGACACTCTTCAGGTCGCTTGTTCTATCTAGGCTGGAATATTGCTGCACACTAACAGCACCTTTCAAGGCAGGCGAAATTGCTGACCTAGAAAATGTACAGAGAACTTTCACGGCGCGCATAACGGAGATAAAACACCTCAATTACTGGGTGCGCTTGAAGTTCCTGAATCTGTACTCCCTGGAACGCAGGCGGGAGAAATACATGATTATATACACCTGGAAAATCCTAGAGGGACTAGTACCGAACTTGCACACGAAAATCACTCACAACGAAAGCAAAAGACTTGGCAGACGATGCAACATCCCCCCCAATGAAAAGCAGGGGTGTCACTAGCACGTTAAGAGACAATACAATAAGTGTCAGGGGCCCGAGACTGTTCAACTGCCTCCCAGCATACATAAGGGGGATTACCAATAGACCCCTGGCAGTCTTCAAGCTGGCACTGGACAAGCACCTAAAGTCGGTACCTGGCCAGTCGGGCTGTGGCTCGTACGTTGGATTGCGTGCAGCCAGCAGTAACAGCCTGGTTGATCAGGCTCTGATCCACCAGGAGGCCTGGTCACAGACCGGGCCGCGGGGGCGTTGACCCCCGGAACTCTCTCCAGGTAAACTCCAGGTAACTTGCAATTATTTGGTTCGCCTACACATTGCCCTTTACCTCTTTACACACCCTCTTGTAAGGTCTTGGGGTTCGATTCTTTGACACAGAAACATTTGGGCAAACTTTTTTACACCCTACTGCCCTTGCTCACCTAGCAGTGAAAATAAATACTGTACCTGTTTGTGAGTCAAGGGTCCCCGACTCTTCAACGCCCTCCCTCCGGCATAAGGTAAATTACCAACAAACCTGTCTTCAAGAGGGAACTGGACAAGTTCCTCAAATCAGTTCCTAACCAGCCGGGTTGATTCGTGGGGTGCTGTGCGTGCAGAGAGCAGTAACAGCCTGACTAATTACGCCTGGTCTGAGACTGGGCAG